ATGCGCTAACATCGCCTATCCTGGGCAGATATGCCTGACAGTGACTAAACGCAGTGGTAGGAACTCATTCGGCGGCTCTTGTGCCTGATTAGACGGTCGCTCAACATCACCAATAGTTCACGGGTGCCATTGGTGCGAAGTTGCTATCGCAAGAGCAGGCAAGGTTCGCTTCCACCCCAATCGCCTATGTCGAACCAATCGGTCGCTGACCCCACCCTCCTCCCAATCTATCTTACCTCAGTGTGGCTGCCCAGGCGCGACTGCGAGTGCGCGCCCACGCGATTACGGCAGCCACGGCGCTTTCTGACTGCGCAATGTCGTGTCGCAAGGCTGAGGCTGGCAAATATAACACCAGGCTGACGCCCATTTTGGAGCAGCTATACATCGACTCTTTGAGAGCCTGCTGCACCTGATTATCGCCGCCTCTACGGCTAGATTCTTTCGCACGTCGACAGGAGTCTTGATACAGTAAATACACTCATGGCGTCACCTTCCGACCCAAACAAGCTACCGACAAGTGCAACGAATCATATAGCGCGCACCGGATTGACTGTGCTTGCATGCCCTCCCAGAGATGAGGACTGTTTGGTCGAGTAAGCTTGATCTTTTGCCCCAAAGGGAGTTACTGACACTTCCTGGCTAGTATCGTTTTTGTGCATGGCCTGCAAGGTCATCCGAAGAACACTTGGTCGACGCAAAGTCGCCAGCCTGGTCATGAAAGCCTAGACTCGGACGATGGCCAATCAAACCTCGCGAAACTACAAGGCCTCTTCAGCCGCAAAAGGAAACGTGCAGAGTCGCAACCTGATAATCCAAGCCATGTTTTTTGGCCTCAGGATCTGCTGCCTCAGGATTGCGTGTCTGCACGCATTCTGACTTTTGGATATGACTCTGACGTTTCCAAATTCTTCGACGGTGCGGTAAACAGGAACAACTTTTACGATCATGCAAATGATCTCCTCAGAGCTTTATTGCGAGAGAGGTCGCGAGTTGCTCGAGTGAGTAAAGAGCTTTGAAAAAGAAAGTGAAGAACTGAATTGACAGTTTGTAGCAAAGGCCCATTATCTTTGTGGCCCACTCTCTTGGAGGTTAGACGATTGCTTAGTTCCCACGACTATTTGTCGCTGACAACCTGCCAGGTATTGTAGTCAAGCAGGTAGCCGACTCATCAGAATGACTTGGTATATGCAGCTCATAACGATTGTGTAGGCCTTGGTCGATTCACAACGTGCTGAGCGTCGAATTGAAGAGAAGTCAGTATACTATCACACAGAGGCTGTGGTTTTCCTCGGTACACCCCATCGTGGAAGTCAGTATTCAAGCTGGGGTCAAATAGCAGAGCGTATTGCACGCGCAGCTATCTTTGATACGAACAAGACGACCCTATCCCATCTGCAGGTCCATGGACTCGAACTGGCGAACCTTGAGAGAGACTTTCTCGTTCTCTTGGATCGGCGAACCTTTAGTGTCTTTAACTTCCAAGAAGCTCTTGGTCTCAAAGGTATAAAGGGTTTCAATGGAAAGGTGCGTACATCAAACCATTGCTTCAATTCTAAACAAGTTACAGGTTGTGGAGAATTGGTCGTCTTCGATTGGAGACCATGGTTCAGAGCCATCAGAAAGCATCAATGCGAATCACATGAACATGTGCCGCTTCTATGGAAGGGATGATCCAGGCTACAAACAAGTCGGGGGTGAGATTCAGATTAAAGTTGATGAACTGGTGCAAAAACATCAGGGTAGGACACCCAAGGAGTTTGGTACTGAATGACGATGAATACTCACAATTGACGACAGAGGCGCTTTCGAACGAGCACGCTGGTGAGCCTCACCGAGCGGCAGATACACATATTTGAGTTTCATTAATAGCAATCCAGACTTTCTTAAGTCTCTACTTGGCTGCGTATCAGAGGAGACGTTCACCGGAATTGACATCAAGGACCCTCTCGAAAATACCTGTGAATGGATTTTACGTCGCCACTCGTTCTCCGAATGGGTCAGAGAGGGAGACGGTATCTACTGGATAAATGGAAACCCAGGAACTGGCAAGAGCACTCTGATGAAATACCTTTTGGCAGATCATGAGGGGCTTCTCCAAAAGCACATCCCGAGCTCCAGTCGTCTTGTAAAAACCGGGTTCTTCTTTCGTAGAACAAGAAGTTGGCCGGAAAGAACAGCGAACAGCATGTTACGTACCATCCTAGCACAGCTCTTTCAACGCGAGAAGAGGGTATATCAGAAGTCTCTTCCTACTTTGAGAGCTATGAAAAGCCCTCATCGGACCGCCGAGCACATGAAATGGTCTGATCAACAACTCGGCAGTGTCTTCGACGACATCTGTCAAGGTCAAAGGGATGAAAGTGCTCCCTTGCGATTGTTGATGTTTCTCGATGCAGTGGACGAAAGCCTGGATCGTGAAATGGAAGCCGTCGTGAGTAGTCTACGTAGACTCCTCTCGACCGCTCGCAAGCACAGTGTCTTGCTCGGGATCTGTATCACCAGCCGCCCTCTACCTGAGCTGCGACGTGAAGCCGATCTCGCCTGCGGATGCATCTCGCTACAAAGAGAAAACCACGAAGCAATCTACACTTACATTGAGTCGGAGCTAGCATCCAGACGCGATGATCGGCGGGGCGAAGACTATTATAGTAGATTCGCGGAGAAGGTTGCTGAAAGAGCAGATGGTGTCTTCCTTTGGGTTGCACTTGTAGTTCCAAGATTGCGAAGGAAGATTGATCACGGAGGCACAATACGGGAACTGGAAGCCTTACTTCAAGACATCCCGAACGATCTGAAGAAGCTCTTCATCGATATTCTGCAGAGGATACCAGGTCCAGACCTTGGGATGACGATGCGGATACTTCAGATTGCCACGTTAGTCCGGAGGCGTTTAACTCTAGAAGAGTTTCAGCATGCTTTAGCTTTCCAACCAGGCTCGCCCTACAAGTCGCTTGAGGCCTGGAAACGCTCGTCCGACTTTTTGGAACTTGGTGAAATGCTTATTGCGAGACTTCAGTACCATTCCGGTGGACTCCTGGAGCTTCACGAGGAATTGGATATCGAAATTGATCCTGTAACACAGTATCGGGAGTTCTTGCGGAAGTTCTCACCCCAACCGCTCTTGTATAAGTTCCTGCCACCTTCAACACTTGACAATCCCCCAGGATCTCTACCCAGGCGCAGTAATATATCACTGCGTTTCCGGTCAAGCGCTGGACGCTGGTCAAGCGCTAAACGCTGGTCAAAGCCCACTCCCCACGTCCCTGTAGTTCGTTTCATTCATGAGACAGCAAAACACTTCTTTCGGGAGAATGAGGGCTTTAATATCCTTTACGACTTGATTCCCGCTTCCGAAGCTGCAAAAGCGACACCAAATCCATTCTGCAGCCCGAGAGGTTGCTATCTAACAGGTGGCCACCAGTTCATCGTCAATAGCTGTGCTTCCTACCTGAGCATACAAGAACTCAGGCCCAAAGTCACAGAAATGCTGACCTCGTCAACAAGACCACGGGTTGGCGAGTTTCATTTTCTCCAATACATATCCGAGAGCTGGTTTCATCACATACATGAGGCAGAGGAAGGAGGATTAGCTCAAACAGACATCCTTAGATGGCTTCTCTTCCTTCAGCCGAGCGCACTGAATCAGTGCATCTGCTGGGCAGGCGAACATGACATCAGATCCTGGATACGCTTGTGCATTGAGCATAAGGTTGATGTTAATGTTGTCGATGCCACTTTGTTGTCTTACGGACGTCCTATCAGGCGCGCTGTCGCGAACGGGTTCTATGAAGCAGCAAGGCTTCTGATACAGGCTGGTGCAAATGTCAACGGCATTACTGGAGGACTGGAGACTACATTGCGAGTGTCTGAGAGAATGATGAACCAAGAAATTGCCGAGCTCCTCAGGAAGAATAAGGGAGTGCTTTGGCAACCGCACTGGATTCCACCTGAGGGTCAGATTGTCAAGCTGTAGGAATAAAATCCCAGGACGGGGTTCTTTTGCTATACAGTATTTCTTAGCGTATCATTGTATATGTATGAATTCAGAAGAGCAGGTGAGGAGAAGAGGGATCGCGACGTGCTACCGTTGTATTATGCTGCGTTTCTGTTCCACGCCGCCGCAGTAAGTCTTCCACGCATCCTGGTGATAGCAGCATGAGCGATCGATTAACGCTTTCTCAGGCCTGCGCTCAAGGGGAAAATGCCCTCCTCTACCTCAACCTAGCGGAGCACGCGTTCAGTCTTCTCGATGCTCATACCACTAAATTCCCTCTCGGTATGCAGCGGCACAAGCAAGATGATTTGCAAAAGTGCAACTGGGGGGTGCGCCTGACCGTGAGTATCTGCCTGACAGCCGTCTGCTGATAAAGACTGAGAGTGCTAAGTTTGACGCAGCTCAAGCATAATAAAAGTGACAACAGCATGGATGTTGGACCTTATTTCTTTGTCCTTGCCGAGGCGCGAAAGAAGCACGATCAGGAAGAACAACGGATGATGTAGTCGGTTCAGTTTTGGTGGAAGAGGAGAGATTCCCTTCGGGTGCATTCATGATGGGAGACGGTTGGGCTCTGTCTTGTACACATCCCTGGCTGTGTGGTGTGCTACGCACTGGCCACTTCAACCTGATTTTGCTCGCCTTCTCTTGCGCTAGCTCCCACTTGCATTTCGTGATTGGCAAATCGACGTTCGACGTTCGGTATTCCCTAGCGGCTTGTCGTTCGACGTTCGACGTTCGACGTTCGACGTCCGCTCACTGTGTACTAAGCCTGGGTCCAAGACGCGAGAGGCTATAGTAATCTGGCCAGAGCGCGAGCAATTGCGCAAATCACGGATCAACGGCAAAGTTTTGTCTTGAAGCCACGTCGCCAAGTCTACACGGGTCATTTTTGGTGGATTTTTTCGAGAACTGAGGCTGCTACATGTACCCTTGCATCGTATTTGTTGAGAAAGTTGATAATACTACCGCCTTGGACTCTACTGCCAACTCTTCCAAAGCATGATCATGCAGACTTTAGGTTGACGGGTAAATCATGGTACATCTGATAGTCAAACTCGTTACTCCACTCGACAATGAACACTTTGGTAAGCGCGACAGCTCCCGGTAAGTCGAGCTCCTTATCTTGATCTGCCAATCGCCAGAAGTGCGTCTCGTCCAGGTGGTCCATGCTCCAATCATCGACCAGCGCACGCATAATGTCTGTTACGACACGTACAAGGTCACCAGAATTTCCCTTTCCGAGAAGAATAGCCGAGGCCGCCATTTCACCCATGCTGTTGCGAACGAAGCTACTCTCCCAACCTTTGCGCTCGAGCAACTGTTGTTTCTCTGCCACGGTCCGCTTTAGAAGAGCAGCCAGCTGAGATCTAAATCGGTCCATGGTAGCTTTCGAGTACGCTAAAAGGATGTCGCGCATACCACGATGTATACTCCACGACAAATGGTTCCATGGAAGGCAATCGAGCGCTTGCGCAATAGCCTCTTGTTCTTTTCTGGGGATCAAGAAAACCGTGTCATCGTGAGAAGAGTCTTTGCTCGGCACCTTGAGCGTGAGGTAGTCCTCATTAACTTGTTTTGTCGAATCCTGATCCCGAGCGAAAATGTAGTCGACTTCGTACACTTTGCCTCCAAGCATATTGTACAAATGCCGAGACCCATGCGCTCCAGGAAAGCCTTTCACAGCGTACTCAAGCACATAGGTGCCCGCCGGCTTGCGACCGCAGAACGATAGCTGCAGACCAGACGGCGCTACGATGACTCCGGCGAGCATCTGCGTGCAGCGGTTGGTCCGTTGCGTGAAACTTGGAGGGTAGACATCGGTACTTTTCTTATGCGAGTCATGAGGTGAGAACTGCACGACGGCGTCTTGGCCAATTGGCCAGGTAATGTACCATTGACCATTGTATGAAGCGTATCCGGCCCGGAATCCAGACGCATCGCTGTACGAGAAGGCGACCCTAGCGTTGGTAAGCGCCATCATGGTTATCAACGTCGTTCTTGAGATGGATACGCAAGCATGTGCTTGGTATCGTGCTAGTTGCATCCTCTCCAAGGATTTCCATTGCGTGCGTCTGTCTCGAGCCTCGCGTGAACGATCTTCCGTTTCAACGACGGTCTTCTCTTGCACGTGTTCCGTAGCTCTCTCTGCTTCTTCTATGGATGGGCTAGGTGATCGGAGCGAATGCAGCTTGTCCGGGTGGAAGATGGTCAAAATGAGTGCCCAGCCCGCCTTCCCGGGGGGCGCAAATAGCGGCAGGCGCGTTAAGTGGATGATCTGTTTCCCGCAGAACCCGTTTTCCAGATTTGCGACTAGAACAGGGCCGTACAATGGCGGCCTTCTCACCTTCCACCACGATAACTTGTCTTGGTGTCCGTACCAGAATCCTAGATATGTCGGGGTGCGATGACTGTGAAAAGGGTCCAGCTTGTCATTGATGGCGCTGGCTTGCGATAAGAGACCACCCAATCCCACCGCTGTGACCACGAACGAAAGCCATGTTGCGACATCTGACGATGTTTCCATTTTGAAGAGCCTGGCAATCGAATTCTCCATTGTGTGTGAGTGTACGCTCAGCAATGGTGGAGAGAGCTTTACTTACATGGTGCGGGGACGCGCATATGTATGAGGGTGCAGCTAGCCAAATCGCTCGCACGGGTAACTGGTGATGCAGAGCGCTTGTCTAATGACACTCAGGTAGTAGACAGCCCGGTTTTTCAATCAATTATGAAGAGCGCATATCTAAGCGCCACTATGGGCGTGAACTACATCGTCGCCTGATGCCGTGCCAGACAACCCGTGTTCATGCACAACGTGCTTTCATGTCACAATCAGCCTTGTAACCGCCTAGGGACGTATGCCAAACTATTCAAGAAATGAAGTGACCTTGAAGCTCTTTTCGCGCGGGATTTTCTCATCGAATTTCGGGTGCCCTCACATTTTTCGTCGCTGCACAATGGCATGATGGGATCGTAGGGTTTGAGTGGGATGCCCCTCGCGAGGCTTATCTTTGGTAGGGGTACACAAATGACTATAGCGTGATATGCGCTCACGTACGCAGTGTAGTAAGCAAGGAAAGCCTTGCAAATCTGCGTTGTTCGCTCGTTCATTGCGGCATTCCGAGTTGGAGTTATACCATCCAGGGCGGACGTGGAAGAACTCCAAGGTTGGAGAGAGTTTGGAGGTGAGATAGAGCCCAAGGGCCCAGGATGACGTACGTGATTTTCAGGGCTCACGTGGACCGCGGATTAGGTTTAGCGGCACTCGGTCTAAGCTTCCTAATTTCCCGACGAGAGGTGCAACACCAACACAGCTGTTGCTCACGGACAACGCCATGCGATTATCAGGATTCTCCTTGCTCAGTCATTACGCGTTGAATTCCCTTCTTTGCAATCCCGGGTGAGAACCTCGCGTCGTGGTCAGCCGAGAGCAAGTCGTCTTCGCAGGCTGTGCCTCCAACACGCGTTACAATGTACCGAGATGCACGCGCAAGGCTAATATCAGACGTCCCACCTCAGGCCCCGGCTCAACCCTTCGTTCGAATCCACCCCGTATACCACCTGCACTACCAACCGGAGGTCACGGCTCCAATTTAGTACAGCATGGATGTACCGTCGACGTTACCCCGCAGCCACCTGCAGTCGGCTGTAATCATGCATATCACCGCAACACCAGAGCTTTAGAGCCAGACTATCGCCCTGCTAGGAGATGATGGACGGTACAAGATGACTTAAGAATGCTACCTGAATTGCTTATGCGGCAGGTAGCATGGTCTTGGACCATCGCGTCACTGCCAAGTGTGATGGAACGGAAGGATAAATAGTTCGTGTGGGGAAGCGCGATGAGGAATCTGCGCAGTCAGTGTATACCTTGGCTGCTTTCACCAAGAGTGTTCCGGTTCAGCTACAATCATGGGCATTCCTTCCGTGAAGCAGGCGTCAGCTCTATTGATAGGCGTATTCATAACATCTACGAGCGCGCAGTACAACTCCTCGCAACCACAGAAAAGCGGATATCAATATGTTGACCCTCTCATCGGGACGGTCAATGGAGGTACGAGCGCAATGTTCTGTAAAAACGAACAAATCGGCTGACCACACATAGGGCACGTATTCCCTGGCGCGACATTGCCGTTCGGTAAATGCTTCCCTCTCGAATTCAAACCTGCGTCTACTGACAGCTGCGAGGGATGGCCAAAGCGGGGCCCGACGTGATCGGCGAAAACCAAGGAGGATTCTCCTCTAACGACTCAGAACCTATTTACGGTTTCTCGCATATGCACGACTCGGGAACAGGCGGCTCGCCGTCACTTGGCAATTTCCCAATCTTTGCGCAGGCCGGGTGCGAGAATGACGACATCAACGGATGCCACTATTTCGAATCACAGCGAGCTGTCGAGCGTATACCTGGGGCTGTTCATGCCAGACCTGGCTACTTCGATATCACACTGAAGGACAACATCAGGACGGAATCGACGGTCACGAATCGCACAGCTCTATATCGTATCACCTTTCCCGAAACGCCGACAGCGCCGAACGCGACGCTGAGTCCGCACATTTTGCTTGATCTAACAGATCTCCCGAACACAAGGAGCGAAGCAAACATCACCGTGGATGCCGAAACCGGGCGTATGACTGGTAGCGGAGTGTTCTCGCCATCGTTTGGAATCGGAACGTACAGGTCACATTTCTGCCTTGACTTTGATGGTGCAAAGATCAAAGATGCTGGCGTTTGGCAGAACACGCGTGCGACAAACAGGGCAACCAGTCTGAATGTCGTTCCTGGCGATGTGCGACAATCACCCGTTCTCACACCAGCAGGTGGATGGGTGCAATTTGAGAAGCCCACCCAGGGTAATCAGATCCTTGCAAGAGTTGGAATGAGCTTTGTGAGCGAGGACCAGGCATGCGCGAATGCTGAACGCGAGATACCCTCGTGGGGATTTGATGATGTCGTTGCGGCTGCCGAGGCTGCATGGCGCTCCAAGCTAGACGTCATTACGGTTGAAGACGGCGGTGTTGATCTCGTCTTCCTCAAGGCTTTCTGGAGTGGCGTGTACAGATCCATGATCAGTCCACAAGACTACACAGGTGAAAATCCCCTTTGGGAGTCTGACGAACCGTACTACGACTCCTACTACTGTATCTGGGACAGTTTCAGATCGATCCATCCACTGATCACGATCCTGGATCCTCACAGCCAAACGCTCATGATAAGAAGTCTGCTCGATATCTATCGTCACGAAGGATGGTTGCCAGACTGCCGTATGAGCTTCTGCAAGGGTTTCACACAAGGAGGCTCAAACGCCGACATCGTAATCACGGACGCATATCTGAAGAACATCACCGCTGGTATCGACTGGGCATTAGCATATGAGGCGCTCGTGAAGGATGCGGAAGTTGAACCACCCAACTGGGACGTTGAGGGTACGATCATGATGCCTAGGCGGATACTAGTTCTTGACTAACAACTGTCTAGGTCGCGGTGGTCTCGTATCGTGGAAGGAGTTAGGCTACATTCCCACCGAGAACCTTGACGTCGAAGGAGTAGGCACAGAGACACGCTCAATCTCCCGAACCGTCGAATACGCATACAACGACTTTGTCATCGCTTTGCTAGCCCGCGAACTTGGCAACACAGCTGACTACCTGAAATACCTCGAACGCTCCGGTAACTGGCAAAACATGTTCAAGGCCGATCAACGAAGTGTCATCAATGGTACTGATACCGGCTTCGAAGGCTTCTTGCAGCCGAAATTCCTCAACGGCACCTGGGGCTCTCAGGATCCGATCTTCTGCTCACCACTACTTAATTTCACTGGTTGCTACCTGAACCCGGCAGGTGGCGAGACATACGAAGGTCCTGTCTGGCTGTACACTTTCTTCGCTCCGGGAGATATGGCAACTCTCATCCAGACTCTCGGAGGCCGCGAGCGCTTCGTGGAACGCATGAACTGGCTGCACGAATCCGGTGTTCTATACCTCGGAGACGAACAGGCCTTCCTCAACGTGTTCCTATACCACTACGCCGGCCGTCCTGCTCTCTCCGCTGAGCGCGCCCATCAATACATACCCTCATTGTTTAACGACACCGTCGTCGGCATCCCGGGTAATGACGATAGCGGCGCCATGGGCTCATTCGAAGCCTTCGTAATGATGGGCTTCTTCCCTAATGCAGGACAAGACGTATACTTCATTATACCGCCATTCTTCGAATCGATCGCCATCAAGAATGGCCAGACCGGCAACACAGCAACGATCCGGAATGTCAACTTCGACTCGGCTTACGAGAATATCTACATCCAATCTGCTACGCTCAACGGTGAACCTTACACGAAGAACTGGATCCAACACAGCTTTTTCTTGGAGGGCGGTGTCCTAGAGCTGACATTAGGCCCGCAGGAGAGCAGTTGGGGAACGAAGGCGGAAGATGTGCCTCCCAGTCTTGGGCCCTTTACAAACAGCACTATGTCTGGCAAGAGATCTATTGGTGCGGATCGGGGGTGGGCGATGCCGAGGATGGAGTTTGGATCTGTCGGTAGTCAGTGAGCAACTCAACGGAGCATGACACTGTCGATGGAAGAATCATAATTAGTGGGAATGGCTACCACGAGCCAACGATGATCATAAATATGACTCGGAAGTGATAGCAAGTCATTCTACAGTGACTGTGAACCTTTGGAAGTCACTGCGCGATGTCACTATCTCGACGGCATCCTGTAAAGAAAGTACTGCATACATCCCTCAATATTTACAGACAATATCTCCCGTACCCAAACTTCTTTGACAACAGTCGTCCTTAACCATCGGTACAAATCGCTGTCTTCACAAAGCACTTCACAAAGCACTAAATCGTCGGACTCCCCAAAGCCAGAGTGCGAGCTCACCCAGTAACAGCCAGCAACTTCGAAACCTACCATGGAAGGGATCAAGATGGTTTTAAATCACTGCAAGACCGAGAAACGCAGATTGAAGGAGAAGCGGATGAAGAGAAAGACGGAGGAGGAAAAGAAGATGGATGAAGCAATGGAAGAATGCAAAGTCATGGATAAGGGTATCAAGAAAGCACTTCGAGATCTCGATCAGTCCGGTGGCACACATGCGAACCTGGGAGAGGCGGCTAAGCGGCAGGACAAGTGAGGGCGTGGGGAAAAATCGACTAAGACAGTCGCTCTATCAGGGTTGAGCGACGGGACTTCATCATCAAGACCGTCGATTTTGGCCGTGGAAGGTGGTGGATGGACGACGAAGTTTGTTTGACATGCCCGCATAGCGATGGGGTCGGCAGAATGAGGTGCGAACTCAAACCACATATGCACTCGAAAGCAATGCCAATGAAAGAGTGACTGTTTTGATATTCATCGTGAAGCTATGACGGCGTGTATGTGTCATTCAATCTTGAGTCATACTAATGAGCGACTATGAGTCAATCCAAGGAGACATGAGACCAACTACCCCACTTCCATCTCCATCTAATCATGTGACAATTTGTTCCATCCTCCCTCCATCAAAAGAAAACACGTTCTTACTTCTCCCTAACAGCAACACCGCCGTTCA